AGACGCCACTCCTTGGTGCAGATATAAGTCTCTTCAATTCTCACCACACTCTTCTATGGAAGGGATAAGAGAATTGGATGAATATCAAAGAGGTTAAAGACTTTTGGAAGAGAGAAATTTCGTGCAAATTCTGATCTCACTAAAAAATATCATCCAAAAGTGTTTTACAATGAAGGAAAAACGAAAATATAGGAGTAGGAAGCTTGGAGAGCAAGCTAGCCTTAACCATGGTTCACTAGGAACCATGGTAAGGTCTAGCTAACCATCCATGGTCTAGAGGCTTGGAGAGCAAGCTACTCACTTAGCTTGCTTGGTAAGCAAGTTAAGGAGAAGCTTGTGCTTCAAGCTTCTAAGCTTGAGTGTGAACAAGCAATGTGAACACAAATCAAGGTGGGCGGCTCATGGACTTTATTTTACTCCAACCGGTTTTGAAAAAATGTTGATTTGGTTTAGTTAGGTTCATCCAATGTGAATGAAACCTAGCTAAATCAAATCTATGAAAAATTAGGAGTAAAATGAGTCTAATATGTAAAATTTTTCCTAGGCCCATCTCTAGGCCCAATTGCTAGTAACACTCTCTAGCTTGCTAGTTACACTCTCTAGCTTGCTAATGCCACTCCCAATCCTACTACTAGAAAACTAAGAAAAGAGTGTATTTCTAGATTAGGTTAAATGGAGTCAAAGTGTCCAAGTAACCTACCCTAGAAACAATATACAATAGCTAATAAAAGGAAATAAAGTGCCTCACAAATACAAAGGCAAAAATACACCTATACAAGTATCTACTATATACAAGGTACAAGAAATCAAACTATACAATGTATGTACAATAGAGACTATGAGACTAAAAAGAGGAATCATACTCAATACTCATATTGAGCATAGGTCTAAGAAGCACCTCCTCTCTAGAAGCCTCCTCTAGCCTCCTAACCATGGACCTAGTTAAAGGCCCAATGGTCTTCAAGTGTGAGCCTCCTTGGATCAACCTTCACCCTTCTTGGTCTTACCTCTTACAAAGGGATCCTTAAGGATTAGATTTCCATCACATGTCCTGTTATTTTCATGATTGGGAGCTCATTTTCTTGATAATAGACGTCCATTTCTTCATTTGTATGCCCGCCGGACGAAATTGGGTGTCTACAGCTGCCCCTCTTTACTTGTCCTTTGGAATAGCTATGTGTTGCTTTTCCAAAGGCAAGTAAAGACGTAGACATTTCGTTCGGGTCTTCTCTTTGTCTCTTTGTGTGATGCTTCTACGCTGCTTCCCTTGGATAGGTATATTTGCTTGTGTCCTCACCCTTTAGAGGAGTTGCGTACTCTATTGGGTAACAAGGCTAACAAACTGTACACCTGATCTTCAGTCTTTGAGTAGAAGCTCCATTGTTCCTCTTGTGATAGTGAGGTGAAAATTCGGATCTTCACTCTTGTTTTGACAATAGATACCTTCACATTGTTTCCTTCGGATAGACGGTGTTCCCTATATCCTTGCCCCATGGAGCAACTGAGTGTTGGATTGTATGCTCTATTAGGTGTCAAGGATGGTGAACCGAAACATCTAGGCTTCAAGATCCATGTGAATGCCCTATGTCGCTTGCTATGTCCAAATCTTCTCCTTTACTTCAGCAGTGTAGATGCCCCCACGCCATTTCTTTAGGGTAGATGGTGTTTACTTGTATCCTTGTCCCTAAGAGCAACTGAGTGTTGGTTTATATGCTCCGTCGGGTGATAAGGATGGTAAACCGAAACATCTAGGCTTCTGGTCTTGATGTAGATGCTTCCTACTGCTTTTGCTTTTCTCATGGTAGTGTGTTTCTTTATTTGTGGCTTGTTAAAGAGGGAGTATATTCTGAGCTCAGCCTCTCCAAGCTGGACTGATATTTAGGGCTTCAGCCGGCCCACTGCTAGTTTTGGGGTCTAGCAACCCTTACCGATCTTGTACTAGTTTTAGGGATCTAGCAACCCTTACCGATCTTGTACTAGTTTTAGGGATCTAGCAACCCTTACCGATCTTGTACTAGTTTTAGGGATCTAGCAACCCTTACTGATCTTGTACTAGTTTTGAGGATCTAGCAACCTTTTCCGATCTTGCACTTGATGTCTTCTTGTGGGTGTTGTGGAATGAAAGACTGCCCCTAAGTGAATGGGCAGGAGATGTTTGATGTGCCCCAGTGTTGGTGGGCAGAGAAGTAGATGGCTGACAGGGATTCCAATGTTGCCCCTACCACTTGAGTATTGTGATGCCTCTCCAGGCGCCTGCTTGTGGTAGTTTTTTTTTTAATTTCATTTTTTATTTAGCTTTGGCTTTTTCATAGTTAAAGCTTGCCTTTTTTGTTATTTTTTTGAATGCATCGGCTTTTTCAACATTTACGAAGCTTGCCTTTTTCTGTTTTATCTTGTGTTTTCATCATTGGTGGAGGGATCCCATCCCATGATGATGTTATTTGCTGAATCTTTATTAATGAGTATTATTTCGGAAGCCACTCCTAGCTTTGGCGAGGAAACCATTCCTAGTCTGGCATTCTCTTGAATCATCTTTCATTTGGTGAAGAAGTGAGGCCTGGTGGCCTCTTCATGCTTATAAACTTGCTTGTTTGGTCAATTCCATTCTATTCCACTGTTGATATGTCTTTGCTTAGTGGGCACATAGAATTACTTGGAGTTGCCGTTTGACACCGCTTTGGCTCATGCTCGGCTATTTTGCTTTTACGATTGCCTTGTCCTGATGACTCCTTCTGACCCATAGCAAGTAGAATGCATGGATGCATGGATGCAATGAAAATGCAAGACAGGAATGATTCTTTTATTTATTCCATTTTTTTTGTGTAACGCCCTTCCATATGCCCCTACCTCATATGCATGAGATGTAGTTTATGCTCATGTGTTTAGTCCTAAACATGCAATTCAATTTTTTTTTATGTCGGGAAATTAACATGTGCGCATTAAGGTTAATGTTGACGATTCCTTTTTATCCATGCCGTTTGTGATTATCACCGGGATATGTTCTTTTGAACTCAAGGTTTCAGTGGCTCCTTGATTATCTAGTCGATGTGTAGTCAAGCGTCTCCCAACTCCGTTCAGGGACATCTCGATCTTTCCTCTGTGAGTATTCACTGTGCATTCCCCGTGTATATTTTCGATACCATTTTAATGCCATAAGGGTCAAGAGAAAAGACAGAAGGGACGTTTGTATTTTTTTCAAAAGGGTTGTTCGAATGGATGTTTTTCCCAAAAAGGTTTTTTTTAGAAGAATGGCTGGCCAAGGGGGGGTTTAGTGTTTATGGCTATTGAACAAAATATCATTGTGTTTAGCCTTTTTGGAAAGTGAAGTGATGACTCGGGGTCGTACTTTAATTGGATGATTCCTCTGAGCCGTCTTTGGGTTTTTAACTCAGGTTGCTGCTTTAACGTCCTAACTTTTGCCTAGGTCACTTGAGATGTGTTTCCTAGCGGACATTTTTCTTTTGATCTTTTTCTTTAGCCTAGGTTACCCATTTTTACTTGGGGATTGCCTAGCAGGTCTTGTCCTAACTTTTACGCAGCCCCCTTAGTGAGTTTCCTGCCGGGCCTTCATTTTTTTTTGCAGCACTCATGAGGTATGAGATGACTTTATTTTATCAATCCCTAGTCATGTTTGAATTCCTGATTGTTCCTTTATTATCCTTTCCATGCTATTATCGAGTAACATCTTTGTCGCAAATACATTTTGTTTATTAAGGGTTGATGGATGAGGCCTAGAGTGAATATTTAAAGGGAGAAGAGAAACAAAAGAGTGTTATGACATTTAAAACAGTACTTCCAATTTACACGTGCCCTTTTAGCAAAGCTCGGAGGCTGGGGCATGCCCCGAGTTCGTGATTCGTACACAGAGAGATTAACCGAGGTTGCCCCTAGAGAGGCATGGTTGATGATTGGTTGAACTATGTTAGGAACACATTCCCACTTGCTTGAATGTGGGAGTTTCGACTTCGGAGTGAAACCTTTATGAATTCTTGCTTTCTAAAGGGAATACTCAAGCCGCCTTTCGATTTTCAACTCGAGCAGACATTGCTTTTTTTTATGTATCCCTAACTTTTGCATAGGACGTATCCTATCGAGATTTTGATTCTTTTACCCTAATTTTTGCCTAGGACGCCCTTTACGGGTTTTCGTCCTAGCGGGTTTTTGTCATGCAATACCTTTATTCTTCAATTGGATTTTGTTGTAATTCCCTAAAAGCAAGGACTCATTCATTCTTGATCATTCCTCAGTGCCGGGCGCGTGACCACCAGAGGGCTTCATTTGGGCAAGCCCACCAGGCGCAAAGATGTGTGCGCCGGGCGAGCTTGAGAATGTGAGCCTTTGATGGCCCACGCCGGGCGTGGTGAGCCTTGCCACCGTCTCTTTCAATCCTACACGATGTATTTCATGTATCCCAACTGAGGAAGTATGTTCATGACCCTGGTCATGTGGTGGAGCTGGATAATGTGCGGGTGAAGGAGAATATGACGTTTGAGAAGTTGTCGGTAGCTGTGGTTGATCATAAGTTGAAGGAGCTGAGGGGCAAGTCCATTGCTATGGTAAAGGTGTTGTGGGATGCAGCTACTGGTGAGGCTACTTGCGAAGTGGAGCAGCAGTGCAGGGAGCAATATTCGCTTCTATTCCCAAGTAAGTCTGTTTTCGGGAATGAAAACTCTTATTGTTAGGGAGGTTGTGAGACCCTCTTCTTTCCTTTTCTTCCCTCAACTCACTCTTAACTCTCTTTCACTCTCATACTCACTCTTTTTCTTTCCTTGCTTGCCTTGGTCCCCTTTCTTCTCTGGATTCTTGGGTCTGAAGGTGCTGATTCTTAGAGTTTGGACTTGTTGAGGTGTGAACGTTCCTTTTCTTCTCTTCCCCGTTCAAGCTCTTCTCCATCTTCTTCTCCGTTTCTCTTTCCCGGAAGCTCGAATTCTCGCACCGAGGTAAGGGAAGCTAGGATTTTCTTGCTGGTTGTTTGTTTTAGTGAGCTAGAAATGCACATGATGGCTGATTGTTGCGGATTGATGGATGAGATTGATGAAAATGGAGTTTTGGGGTTTTCGGGGTTTTGGGTGAAATTTGGGGATTTTTCCTTGTTCGTGATTACATGTGTAAAAAGATGGTGTTTGAGTTGTTTGGTGAAAATGTGGCATTTTGGCTAGTTTGCATGTGCTTGAAATGTTGATTTTGGCAGGTTTTGGGCAAGATTTTCGAACTTGGTGAGTTGCTGCTGAGTATCACATCGGGCACAATTCTTCGTGCCGGGCGCGTGACCACCAGAGGGCTTCATTTGGGCAAGCCCACCAGGCGCAAAGATGTGTGCGCCGGGCGAGCTTGAGAATGTGAGCCTTTGATGGCCCACGCCGGGCGTGGTGAGACCACGCTGGGCGCGATATCAGTATGTGGCATGTTTTTGGGATCTCTAGTGTGGCGCCAGGCGTGACCATGTCTCGCCGGGTGTGGAGACTCCTTGGGAGTCTCTGCTAGAGGTGGCACCAGGCGCAATTGATATTGCGTCAGGCGTGAGACCTTGGGGAAGTCTCTACTTACCTTGCGCCGAGCGCGGGTTTGCACGTCGGGCGTGTGAGACCTTTTGAGGTCTCTGCCTCCTGGGCGCATTTGAGTCCCGATGCTCTCTAGTTGTGCCACGTCGGGCGCGACCATGAGTGCACCAGGCACGAATGAGATGTTGATTTATAAGCTGATATGTGTTGAATTATGTTGGAATTGCTGATAGATGTTGTTATATGTTGAGCTGAGCTGTAAATGTAAAATATTGTTGTGTTGTGTGCTATGGTTTGTGTGCAATTTGTTAATTCAAACTTGTGAGAAATTTAAACAAGCTTACAGATAATAAAGCCAAATAAATAAAGAAAACAAAGTAAAGGGAAAAAATAAATAAATTATTATTTTTATTTTATTAACTTCATCAATTCAATGGGCCTGACCCTCTTTAAACGTCCCCAACGGAGTCGCCATCTGTCGCAACCCGAATTTTTTCGATCTCGCGACTAATGGTTTAAACATCCTTTTAAAAGTCTCATCAATTAAGGAATGCCTGGACACCAGACTAATCCTTAATTAATGATTTTGAAAAATGAGGTTCATGGAGTCGCCACCAATGTTTTACTCAAAACATTGGAAAAAGAGAAGATTTTTAAAGGTCCAATAATGGTCTTGATAACCAGAATTGGGTTCGGGGGTTGGTTACATGTAGGGAAGGTATTAAGCACCCCTACAACGCCCTTAATCGGTACCCTATGACGAAGTTAACATTATAAACAATAATAATATAAATATTAAATTCCCTTTTATTGGTAAATATTTACATGCTTGAAATTTAAATTAAACAATTAATTTTAAAATATCTACATGATTGCTTTTATTATAATAATATTTATTATAGAGAAGAAATAAATAAAAAGGAGAAAGAGATTAACTGAAATACCTCTTGAATGAGCTCTATTGAATCTTCAAAACAGGAAGATTTAAGGTGCTTTGTGGCAACCTTTCACACTACAATGCCTTACAAAATCTCAAGAAATACAAAAGAGAGGAGGAGAGAGAAAAAGAGAGAAATTTTGTGCTCTAAGGAGTCTGGACGAAATTTTGGAGTCCCTCAGAAATGTGCCTAAGCTGTCTATTTATAGGCTTTAGACAGGGTCCAGAACGGCCTGTTCCGAAATTGGAACGGCCCGTTCTGGATTTGGCCGTTACGTGTTAATTTAGTGTATTGAAACGGGCCGTTCTGAAACCAAAACAACCCGTTCCAGAGGCGCGTTTAACACATAAATGCCATTCTGGAACGGCCCGTTCCAAATTAAGGATTTAAGCCTTTTTTTGTTATTTGGAACGACCCGTTCCAATTTGGGAACGACCCGTTCCAAATGTATGTTTTAGCCTGTTCTAAAGAGCCTGGAACGGCCCGTTCCAATTTTGGAACGGCCCGTTCCAGTTTAGGGTTTTAGGCTCTTTTTGTAAATTGGAACGGCCCGTTCCAGTTTTGGAACAGCCCGTTCCGGGCTACTAAAACTAGCTTTTTTGATAATAGATGTCCATTTCTTCATTTGTATGCCCCCCGGACGAAATTGGGTGTCTACAACCCCTTTCTACTTCTCTTTTTTGTCACTTTCTTCTCCGACCTCTCTATCTCCTCTTCTACCTTTTTCAATTTTTGCAATATCTTCTTCTTTTTTTGTTTTGTTACGGAAAGTACTTTCTGGAATAGATGATATGCTGTTAGATATAGCTTACTATAATTATTGTAATTATATGTTTATATGCTGATTCTTTTCACTAGCTTACCCTTTGTTGTTTCCATGTGGTTTGGACTGCGATGATCATACGTTGTATGGGAGTAGAGCAGGGTTAGGTTGGTGTCAAGAGGCAGGTCAACAACTGGCAGATGGAGCTTTTCTTTTTGATGTTTTGTTGTTTTTGGCCACTAGCTTGGCTACTTTGGGCTGTATTTTGTACTTTGATTTCTTTAAGCCCCAGATTAGACCTTGTGTATATATTGTAGCTGCTTATATATATATGCATACTCTTTTCTGTGTGGTGTTATGGTGTTGTGCTATGTGTAGTGACCAGCCAGGTCGTTACAATTTCTATATTGATGTTAAAAAATAATAATTAATATATTCAAATATAAAATTTATTTATATATATTTTAGTTACATATAATAAATATTTTAACATGTGCATTGTAATTTGGAAATGCTAAAATATTAATTTATATTATTTAAACTCCACATGCTTGTACTACTAGACTTACTCAAATGATTTAATAAATATGTTATTCTAGTATGAATGAGTTGTTATTATTATTACCGGTGTAAAAGAGATACTTTCTACCTTTGAATATTTGATTTTTCAAAAAAAAAAAATCAATGATAAAAATTATTGAAGTTAAATATATATAAACAACTTTTAATAATTATTTAAAGTGTAAGAAATTTGAAAAATAAATTTTTTTAAAAAATAAGTAAATATTAAATAAAAAAAGATATGAAAAAGAAAGAATATTTTGAAAGTTAAAAAAAATAAAATAATCAATGAATCAGAATATTAAAAAGACATAACATTTTTATTAATAATATTTAATGTTGTGCTCTTCATTTTTGTTTGGACCTTTCGGTACAAAATTATGTGTCTAGCCCACTGCTTAATTGGGCCTAGGTATATATGTGTTGGCTGATGATAAACACACCTCCATTTTTATATAAATACACTTCTTGTTTTTTTTTTATAAATATATTAAATTTCTAAATTATCGTTAATATTTTTTGGAGCTTATAATTTTTAGATTTGCACCTCTTGTTCTTTATTTTTCCCGCACCTTCCTTTTTCTTTCTTTTTTGGACACCTCCCTTCTTCTTTCTTTTTCACCCCTTTCTACTTCTCTTTTTTGTCACTTTCTTCTACGACCTCTCTATCTCCTCTTCTACCCTTTTCAATTTTTGCAATATCTTCTTCTTTTTTTGTTTTGTTATGAAAAGTACTTTCTAGAATAGATGATATGCTGTTAGATATAGCTTACTATAATTATTGTAATTATATGTTTATATGCTGATTCTTTTCACTAGCTTACCCTTTGTTGTTTCCATGTGGTTTGGACTGCGATGATCATACGTTGTATGAGAGTAGAGCAGGATTAGGTTGGTGTCAAGAAGCAGGTCAACAACTGGCAGATGGAGCTTTTCTTTTTGATGTTTTGTTGTTTTTGGCCACTAGCTTGGCTACTTTGGGCTGTATTTTGTACTCTGATTTCTTTAAGCCCCAGATTTGACCTTGTGTATATATTGTAGCTGCTTATATATATATGCATACTCTTTTCTGTGTGGTGTTATGGTGTTGTGCTGTGTGTAGTGACCAGCTGGGTCGTTACACTTTAGTGGTATCAGAGCAGTTCGAGTCTAGTGGACACTCTGTGGGGGTGGTTCTTTTAGGGTTTTGTTGTGCTGAGCTCTGTGTTGTGTTGTTTTGCTGTGCTGATTTCTTTGTTGATTGTTGTGTTGATGATTGATGTTTGGTTTAGTTATTGTATACTGAAGGTGCTGTTACTTTTGTAGACAATGACTAGAACCAATGAGCAGATAGCCCGTGCCATGGAGATGATGGTTATGGCTATGCAGCAGCAAAATGCCTATTTTGCTAGGATGAATGCTGATAGAGCTGCAGTTGGTGCAGCAAGGCCAGTGGGGTCACAGGAGAGCCGGGATCTAGCTAAGTTCCGAAAATGCCATCCTCCACAGTTTAAGGGAGATGCAGACCTAGAGGTAGGTGACCACTGGATCTGTGAGTTGGAGAAGATTTTTACTGTGCTGGGATGTTCTCAGGAGAGGAGGCTGGCATATGCTGTTTACATGCTGGTTGGAGAGGCTGAGCATTGGTGGAGGGGTACTCACCATATGCTGACTGCTAGAGGAGTTGTTGTTGATTGGGAGTGCTTCAGGAGGGTGTTCCTGGAGAAGTACTTCCCGGAAAGTGTGAGACACGCAAAGAAGGCTGAGTTCATGCGGTTGCACCAAGGTGGGCTGTCTGTTTCTGAGTATGCGATGAGATTCGAGCACCTGACTCGTTTCTATTCGCAAGCTATATCTGAGGCCTGGAAATGCAGGAAATTTGCTGAGGGTTTGAGACAAGAGCTGAAGAGGCTGGTGGTGCCTATGGCCATCACTGAGTTTCTGGCCTTGGTGGAGAAGGCTAAGGTGGTTGAGCGGTTGGAAGGTGGCAACCGTGTGACAAAGACTGTTGAGGGACCAGCTGGGTCCAAGAGGGGAGGAAGTCAGAGGAAGCCATATGATAGGCCCCAACCACAACAAGGGAGTCTTGTCATTAGGCAACCTTCTAATGCTGCCAGAGGTGGGAGACAGGGTGGAGGTGCCACTCTCAGATGCTACAAGTGTGTTGGGCCCCATTTTGTCAGGGATTGTCCACACACGGAGAGCTGGTGTTTCAAGTGTCATCAGATGGGTCATGAGTCGACCAACTGTCCTACCAGAAACAGACCGGAGAGGGGTGCTCAGTTGGGTGCTCAGAGAGGCGATGCTCAGAGGGGTGACAGACCTACTACTGCTGGCAGAGTATTCGCTTTGACTAGGGCTGAGGCTTTGACTTCCTCAAATCTTGTGAAGGGGAAGGGTAAAGCTACTGGTAAGGATGTGATGTTTCTGTTTGATTCTGGAGCTTCCCACTCTTTTATTTCTTATGCTTGTGCTGCTATGTTGGGTGTGCTGGTGTGTGACTTGGGATTGAGACTGCTAGTGTCGACGCACGCTTCTGCTTTGGTAGTTGCTTCTGAGCTGTGTGCTGGCTATCCAATTATTGTGAATGATTTGTTTGCCTTTGGTGGATATTGACATAATCTTAGAGATGGATTGGTTGTCTGCCAATCTCAGCCTTATAGATTGTGCCAATAGGAGGTTGATCTTTCCTTAGGTGGAGGAGGAGCTGTTGATTTCAGCCGGTCAAGCTAAATTGTTGTTGAGGGATGGAGCAGAGTGTTGTCTTCTGTTTGATGTTATGAGTGTGGAGACCGAGAGGGTCATTGCCGATATTGATGTGGTGAGGGATTTTGCTGAAGTGTTCCCTGATGAGGTGCCTGGGTTGCCTCTTACTAGGGAGATGGAGTTCAGCATTGACTTGGTTCCAGGTGCGGGGCTAGTGTCGGTGGCTCCTATAGGATGGCCCCAGTTGAGCTGGTTGATCTGAAAGGTCAGTTGAAGGACCTGTTGGAAAAGCAGTTGGTGCGGCCGGATGTATCGCTGTGGGGTGCTCCCGTGTTGTTGGTGAAGAAGAAAGATGGAGGTAGTCGACTGTGTGTTGATTACCGGCAGTTGAACAAGTTGACCATTAAGAACAAATATCCACTTCCTTGGATAGATGACTTAATGGATCAACTAAGGGGAGCATCAGTATTCTTGAAGATTGACTTGAGGTCAGGTTATCACCAAATCAGGGTGAAGGAGAGTGACATATCGAAGACCGCTTTTAGGACTAGGTATGGTCACTATGAGTATGTTGTGATGCCGTTTGGTGTGACCAACGCCCTGGCAGTGTTCATGGATTACATGAACAGAATCTTCTGGCCCTTCTTGGATAAATTTGTGGTGGTGTTTATTGACGACATCCTGATTTATTTAAGGACCCCGGAAAAGCATGAAGAGCACTTGATATTGGTGCTGGAGATTTTGAAGGCGAAGAAGTTGTACGCTAAGCTTTCAAAATGTGAGTTCTGGTTGGATGAAGTGAAGTTCTTGGGACATGTAATTTCAGCTGAGAGGATTGCTGTTGATCCGGCTAAGGTGGAGTCGTTATTGCAGTGGGAACGTCCAAGAACTGTCACTGATATTCAGAGTTTTGTGGGTTTGGCGGGTTACTATCGAAGGTTCATTGAGGGATTTTCCAAGATAGTAGCGCCTCTAACCTAGTTGACTAGGAAGGAGCAGCCGTTCATTTGGATTGATGCTTGTGAGCGGAGTTTTGATGAGTTGAAGAGGAGGTTGACTACTTCTCCTGTGCTGGTGTTGCTCGACTCTGGTGAACCTTTTGATCTGTATTGTGATGCTTCTCACCAGGGTTTGGGGTGTGTGCTGATGCAGAACAGGAAAATGGTGGCATATGCTTCAAGGCAACTAAAGAACCATGAGATGAATTATCCCACTCATGACTTGGAGTTAGCAGCAGTTGTGTTTGCCTTGAAGATATGGAGGCATTATTTGTATGGTGCTCGGTTCAGCGTCTTCAGTGATCATAAGAGTCTAAAGTACCTGTTTGATCAAAAGGAGTTGAACATGAGGCAGAGGCGGCGGATGAAGTTTCTGAAGGATTATGACTTCCAGTTGATGTATCATCCTGGGAAAGCCAATGTTGTGGCAGATGCGCTGAGTAGAAAATCCATCCACATGTCTAGTATGATGGTGAAAGAGCTGGAACTGGTAGAGGAGTTCAGAGATTTGAATCTCTGTGTGGAGCTAGCTTAGGATCACATTAGTTGTGGGATGATTACCATAACTAGTGAGTTCTTGAGGCAGGTTGGACAGAAGCAATTGCAAGATGTTGAGCTGGTGAAACTTCTTGGTTTGCTGGGTACCGAGAAGGCTGTTGGTTTTGAGCTAGGTAGAGATGGAATCTTGAGGTTCAAGGGCAGGATTTGCCTACCTCATAATGTTGAGTTGAAGAAAGTTGTGTTGGAGGAAGGCCACAAGAGCAGACTTAGCATACATCCTGGTATGACTAAGATGTACCAAGACCTCAAGAAGACTTTCTGGTGGTCTGGTCTGAAGAGGGAGATAGCTGAATATGTGGCAGTCTGTCTAACCTGTCAGAAGGCGAAGGTGAAGCATCAGAAGCCAAGTGGTTTGATGCAACAGATAGAGATTCCAGAATGGAAGTGGGATAGTATCACTATGGATTTTATTGTGGGGTTGCCTAGGTCGGCTAGGAATAGTGATGCTATCTGGGTGATTGTTGATCGGTTGACCAAGTGTGCACATTTCTTGCCTGTCAACATCAAGTGGTCCTTGGCGAAGCTGACGCAGTTGTATGTGAGGGAAATAGTACGGTTGCACGGGGTGCCTTCCAGTATTATTTTAGACAGAGATCCGAGGTTCACTTCGAGATTTTGGCAGAGTCTACATCAAGCCTTAGGCACGAAGCTGAAGTTGAGTTCTACTTATTATCCGCAGACGGATGGTCAGTCAGAGAGGACAATCCAGTCCTTAGAGGATTTGCTGAGGGCTTGTGTGTTAGACCACTTGGGAAGTTGGGAAGAGGTCCTACTACTGGTTGAGTTCACTTACAATAATAACTTTCATGCTAGTATTGGGATGACGCCGTTTGAAGCCTTGTATGGCAGGAGATGTAAGACTCCTCTGTGCTGGTATCAAGATGGTGAGTCAGTGGTTGTGGGACCAGAGTTGATCCTACAGACTACTAAGAAGGTGAAGCTAATTCAGGAGAGGATGAAGACTGCTCAGAGTAGGCAGAAATCTTATACTGATAAAAGGCGAAAGCCTTTGGAGTTTACTGAAGGGGACCATCTGTTTCTGAAGGTGACTCCGACCTCAGGTGTGGGTAGAGCGCTGAAGGCAAGGAAGTTGACACCTAGGTTTGTTGGTCCCTATCAGATCATACAGCGTGTGGGTCCGGTTGCTTATCGGTTGGCCTTGCCACCGTCTCTTTCAATCCTACACGATGTATTTCATGTATCCCAACTGAGGAAGTATGTTCATGACCCTGGTCATGTGGTGGAGCTGGATAATGTGCGGGTGAAGGAGAATATGACGTTTGAGAAGTTGTCGGTAGCTGTGGTTGATCATAAGTTGAAGGAGCTGAGGGGCAAGTCCATTGCTATGGTAAAGGTGTTGTGGGATGCAGCTACTGGTGAGGCTACTTGCGAAGTGGAGCAGCAGTGCAGGGAGCAATATTCGCTTCTATTCCCAAGTAAGTCTGTTTTCGGGAATGAAAACTCTTATTGTTAGGGAGGTTGTGAGACCCTCTTCTTTCCTTTTCTTCCCTCAACTCACTCTTAACTCTCTTTCACTCTCATACTCACTCTTTTTCTTTCCTTGCTTGCCTTGGTCCCCTTTCTTCTCTGGATTCTTGGGTCTGAAGGTGCTGATTCTTAGAGTTTGGACTTGTTGAGGTGTGAACGTTCCTTTTCTTCTCTTCCCCGTTCAAGCTCTTCTCCATCTTCTTCTCCGTTTCTCTTTCCCGGAAGCTCGAATTCTCGCACCGAGGTAAGGGAAGCTAGGATTTTCTTGCTGGTTGTTTGTTTTAGTGAGCTAGAAATGCACATGATGGCTGATTGTTGCGGATTGATGGATGAGATTGATGAAAATGGAGTTTTGGGGTTTTCGGGGTTTTGGGTGAAATTTGGGGATTTTTCCTTGTTCGTGATTACATGTGTAAAAAGATGGTGTTTGAGTTGTTTGGTGAAAATGTGGCATTTTGGCTAGTTTGCATGTGCTTGAAATGTTGATTTTGGCAGGTTTTGGGCAAGATTTTCGAACTTGGTGAGTTGCTGCTGAGTATCACATCGGGCACAATTCTTCGTGCCGGGCGCGTGACCACCAGAGGGCTTCATTTGGGCAAGCCCACCAGGCGCAAAGATGTGTGCGCCGGGCGAGCTTGAGAATGTGAGCCTTTGATGGCCCACGCCGGGCGTGGTGAGACCACGCTGGGCGCGATATCAGTATGTGGCATGTTTTTGGGATCTCTAGTGTGGCGCCAGGCGTGACCATGTCTCGCCGGGTGTGGAGACTCCTTGGGAGTCTCTGCTAGAGGTGGCACCAGGCGCAATTGATATTGCGTCAGGCGTGAGACCTTGGGGAAGTCTCTACTTACCTTGCGCCGAGCGCGGGTTTGCACGTCGGGCGTGTGAGACCTTTTGAGGTCTCTGCCTCCTGGGCGCATTTGAGTCCCGATGCTCTCTAGTTGTGCCACGTCGGGCGCGACCATGAGTGCACCAGGCACGAATGAGATGTTGATTTATAAGCTGATATGTGTTGAATTATGTTGGAATTGCTGATAGATGTTGTTATATGTTGAGCTGAGCTGTAAATGTAAAATATTGTTGTGTGACTAGTTGATAATGCTGAATTATGACGTTGAGCTGTAGTTGATGTATATTGTTGTGCTGTAAGTTGTTTAGTTGTGCTGTATGCTGTTGTTGCCGTATGCTAATTTGCTGTGCTGTGCTGTGCTACATGCTGATATGAGCTGTTGTAGGCCGTAAGGCTGAGCTGTTGTAGGCCGTAAGGCTGAGTTGTTGTAGGAGATATCCGAGCTGACATGCGTGACGACGCATTGTGTGTTTACTGTTGTTATTGTTGAATGATGTATGCTGTGATATACTATATGCTGATATTGCTGAACTAGATGATATACTGTTAGATATAGCTGACTATAATTATTGTAATTATATGTTTATATGCTGATTCTTTTCACTAGCTTACCCTTTGTTGTTTCTATGTGGTTTGAACTGCGATGATTATATGTTGTATGGGAGTAGAGCAGAGTTAGGTTGGTGTCAAGAGGCAGGTTTGCAGCTGACAGATGGAACTTTTCTTTTTGATGTTTTTTTTTTTTAATTTTTGGCCACTAGCTTGGCTACTTTGGGCTGTATTTTGTACTCTGATTTCTTTAAGCCCTAGATTAGACCTTGTGTATATATTGTAGTTGCTTATATATATATATGCATACTCTTTTCTGTGTAGTGTTATGGTGTTGTGTTGTGTGTAGTGACCAGCCGGGTCGTTACAATTTCTATATTGATGTTAAAAAAATAATAATTAATATATTCAAATATAAAATTTACTTATATATATTTCAGTTACATATAATAAATATTTTAACATGTGCATTGTAATTTGGAAATGCTAAAATATTAATTTATATTATTTAAACTCCACGTGCTTGTACTACTAGACTTACTCAAATGATTTAATAAATATGTTATTCTAGTATGAATGAG